GAACTGTAGTGAGCCAAAGAGCACACCGATCGCTGATCGCCGGGAACCAGGGAAGACAGAAGGTGAGGAGACCACAGGCTCAGGTGCTGCAGACAGCTGCCATTGGGAAAAGCTCTCCGGAATGGAAGAGGAGTGCCTTGCCCCTGAAAACGAGAGCTGAGTATATTGCTGCTGGACCCACTTCTCGGGGAGTGCAGGGTGTTACTTGCACTGGAAGGAAGTAATGGACAGTAATTCAAATCAGATTGACGCATGTGTGAACACAGCATTGGTATGAAGAATTGTGCAATTAGAAAACTTGGTAAAATTCATTGGCCATTTCCTGGCTCCCCCTTAAATCATACAAAAAAATTCACTGCAGAGAACGTAAGCACGTGATTGCAGTTTGGGACTAATAACATGTTTATGCAAAGTATTAGACAATCAGAAACAGAGATCATGGGTTTGAGCTAACCTGCACTGGAATTAGGAGATCACAGAAAATAGTAACTGTCCATGGAAGTCAAACAAGACAATTGATGTGAGATGATGAGAAGATTAGTTCTACAAGGTACAGACATATAGAACCCAGTTCCTCAGCTCCACTAGAACCCAGTTTTTCTGAGATAACCTAGGGCTGTTTTCATACCTGTCCTCCTTGGTGTTTTGTTATTACACAATGCCAGAGGTGTGGTCTTTCCCTGTAAAGAAAAGAAACTCATTTGACTTGTGGTTCTGGAGGCTGGGAATCCACTGTCAAGAGGCTTTACCTGTGGGGGTCATCCTGTGAGAAGACAAAGGGATGTGAAACAAAGCAAGGGTGGGAATTCAGTCTCCTGCCCATCCACAGTCAGCACCGAGCCATTCATGAGTGTGGCAGGTTCTTGTGGCCCCCATGACTCCCGGGGGGCCCCAGCCCCTCACTGCACTGGTGAGTTCACAGCCCTTACTTCTCTCTATATATCCCTCCTCCGTTCTTTCCCCTGTGTGGCCTTCCTGTTGTATTCCTGTCCGCGATTCTCTGGGCTTGTTCTGTCAGTCTCTTCTCACTGTCAGAACACGTGTCTCCATAAGTCTGTCTTCTGCCAGGGACACACCTGTCCAGAGCAGGCATTTGGGGAGACATTCGGTTCCCAGTAGATAATGGCAGCTTCCGAAGCCTTTTTTACTTTATATTGTTACAACAGAATTCCAAGAGTATATGGCTTTATACTTTGTGAAGGATGAAGCCTACTTTGCCTCACAGTTTCAGAAATTCAGGAGAGTGTAGCACTGACATGTTCTTGGGTTCTGGTGAAGATCAGATGTTAGAAAACAGAAGGACAGTTGTAACCGGGTGTTTATGTGTAAGAACTATGAAAAGCTGGCACCCCATACAATGTACTCTTGTGTAACCAATCCAGCCCCCCTAAACAAGAATTATCTATCAAAAGAAAGACTGTAATTCTTAATGACCTATACTTTTTTATTTTTATTTTAAAACCTTTTTGTTTATTCTTGAGAATTTGACACATTAGTACAATGAAATGTGGTTATATCTATCTCTAATTTCCCCAACAACTCCCTGTGTTCTTTCCACGTGTCGCCCAGCTGGGAAGTTGATTTTATAACCCTACTAAGTCTCATTAGTAATGCTTATAGGTTACCACGTGAGAATGAGTTGTTGCATGAATCCTAAATGGTCTTATAATAAAAACCCAGAGTCAGATATCAGGGTGAAAGCTGAAAGATCAGAGAAGCAGAGGAAGCCACAGCTACCACCTCTTACCTCACCAACTCCTCAGCCTGACAGAGCCCCTGCAAGAGAGCGAAGTCCTGATTCCTCCCGACATATCTTCTTTTCTCTGCCCAGCCATATCACTTCCTTTCTCAACCTTCCTGGTGCTGGGATTAAAGGTGAGTGATCCCAAATGCTAGAATTAAAGGTGTGTATCACCACTGCCTGGTCTCTTTGTTTAATCTGTTGGCTTCTTTATTTGTCAAGAGTACAAACAAAATATCACCACAGTGGGTCATCCACTGGACCACGAGAATCTGATCAGTGGCCACATGGCCAGAAAAAAAATGTTTCTCCCTCCCCTAGAAACAACCAATAGCTCCTCAGCAGGGAGTGCGGCCTGGAGACTACCTACGAAGTCAAGGCCAGAATTTTGCCTGGCTTGGCTTTGTGCAGATCGTGAGCAGATAACCACAGGTGCTGTGAGTTCATGGGTGCCATAACCAGAAGAATTTCAACAGCACTCCTCCCTATCCTCTGACTCCTGCTGCTTTCTTCCTCCTCTTTCAGGATGTTCCCAAAGCCCTGGTGTGTGTGTGTGCAGTGTTTGCATCGGGTGTTGAAACAGAAGTCCCATTTGATGCTGAGTACTCAGCCCTTTGGCCAGTTCTGCGCCTCTCCGTTGACTCCCATTATTGGCCTGCACTTCCTCATAGCTCAGTCTCTTTTATCACAACCCATGTCCATGGAACCAGTGCTGCGGAAAGATCTGTCTGAATACCATACAGAGAGGAGGAAAAAGACAATCTCATTCAGTAAAGCACAGGAAAAAACATACTCATGAGAGCAACGCACGAACAGAGGAGAGCTGGGATCTATCATGGCCAACACGGCACATCAGAAAACCCCCAATACTAAAAGGAGAGGAAGAAATAATTAGCAGTCCCACCATCCTGAACAACCAACAAACCCTCAGGAAATAGGAAGCCCTTCCCAATATAATCTAATGCAAATGTTGTCAACACAGCAATTCAAAGATGCACACTAACGTACTGCATTGAAACAAGACCTAACTGTTCAAAGGACAACGCCTTATATGAAAGACAGGCTAGTGCTGGGAGGTAGTCAGGAAATAGGAATGCACTCTTTATTTAGTAAAGTTCTGATTAAATCACCATCAAACCATTTCCTCTGCAGGAAACAGACCTTTGAGTTATGGAGAGATAACTTGGTCTTGTTTATTTCTTAAGAAATTCAATAGCCATAAATGTACCAGACTTTCCAGCTGTCTTTGGCCTCTGTGGAGGTGGTACAAACAGTGGTGCCTGCTCACCAGAGGCTCCCTGGTAACCTTTATTGGGTAAAGCCGTGGCTGTTGATGCACAGTGATGCCACTGCATGAGCCAACATTGGATACTTATTCTAAAATGACCTGAACTCAAATTGGTCTGGGCTTTCTCTCGAGGAGCCTGGCTATGAAGCTCTTTGCCCAGTGGAGCAGAGAAGGCGAAGGATGTCCTTTAGCCGAGAGAGAGAATTCCCTTTGGATAATTATGCACGAGAACATGGAGGAAGACTCTGTCTCTCGCTCCTTTGCATCATTTCATTTCTGTGTGTAATTAGGTAATGTTAGGACATAATCGAGATAGGTGTTTGGTTTTGAAACAGGCTTTTACTCTGGAGCCAAGGCTAACCTTGAACCCACAATCCTCCTGTCTCATCCCCTCTTGTGATGGGATTACAGTCCTATCATTCAATCTCAAGAACGAGACTTAATCCCTTTCAGTCTGAGGTCTTTAGGGAATTCCCACTTTATACCAGGGGTCATTATCCACAATGCTTTACTCTGAGACCTAGAACATGGTAACACAAGATTGTTTGGTTCCAGACCTAAAAAAATGTCACACACATACTGAATAGTCTACTTTCACTTGGGAGATTAGAGAACAGCTCATTCGGGTAAAGACTGCAGCAACTGTTTAAAGGTTCTGTAGAACTCACAGAAGTGAAAAGAGGAAAAGATCCCAACCCAGTGAAAAAGACGGATAGCATCTCTTGGGAGTGAGACAGGAAATGACAACAGAGGGTACCCTCTGACACCTTGCAAAAGAGAAGATGTGTCTTGGTGGGGGAGCCCCTGCAGATGGTACCCATACAAAAGTACCAGTTTCAGAACTGACTATAAGAGCAAGAACATTCCATCTATGCTTTGAAAGGAATGGATAAGAAATGGAAGCATGGTGAGTGTGCTCAGTTGATTCCTCCTACCTTTTCTGCAGCCCCGGGGAGGCACACTGTCATCATTTGGTGTTACACAAGAAGAAACTGATCCACGCAAAGGTTCTGTAACCGACACAGGGAGGGCAAGAGGCAGAAGCAAGGTTGGTACCTGAGAAGCCTACCTCTGGAGTCCTTGCCTCTGCGCTCCTTTGTTTCTGGGACTTTCGTCCTACGGTTACAAGGGAAAGTACCATGAGAGTTGGCAGTCAGGTTGAGGTGAAAGGTGACTCTGCACGCTTAGTGAGCGCTCAGTGGCCGATGCTGGAAGATGAACTGACAGGGAGGTACTGGGTCCCCAACCAACCTTCCAGACCAGGAAAGACTGAAATGAATTCTCAGTCACTGCATGTCAGCAAGTCCAGCCACGGATTCAGGTCATTCCATGTCCACACCTGTGAAACTAGTACCATCAATGTGGAGACTGAGCATTAGCTCCTGGTCACAGTTCATGGGGGGACAGAGTCTCAGAAGGCAAACGGGGAGCCATGCTTCCCGGTAATCCACCCCACATATAAAGAGCCCCCAGGATGGCCTTAAATAGATTTCCAGCATGTTCTCTATGGCGCTGTCAAGATGAGAGCAGAGAATTTCGGGGGAGTTCACTCTGCTCTATGGCACTTCATCTTCCACTCGGGAGATGTTAAGTTTGTTGTCTTGCAGCCAAGAGCAGTTCAGTGCTCAAGCACAGCTTATCTGACTTGCACATTAATTATCTTTTATTACACCAGCAGGCCTTCCGTGCCCCTTTTCCCCTTCCTTAGAACCATGTGGCCAAGCAGACGGAGTTCTCAAGGGCATGCTGAAGGGAAAGCACCTTCAGTGAACTCTTGTGTTAAAAGTTCTGTCTGGAGCGAGCCAGTCTGAACCCCAAGCTTCCCCCCAGCCATGTCGGAGGCCTCACAGCTCCCACTGCAGGACTGTGTTGAGGTGGCCTGAAACATCTTACAAAAACTGAAAGTGAAATGAGGAAGGCCGATTGAGCAATCCTTGGAAGGCCCGAGCCAGAGAACCTACTTTAGGATAGCGAGAGATATAGAAGAAAGTCAGGAGAGCGCTCTCCTAGGGGAGCCTCCAAAGACACGGAGGACGGAAATGACCCACCCCTGTGGTCACTTACTCCAAAGGCCCAGACCTTCCAAGTGCAGAGACCTAGCCACCGCGCCTTTCTTTTTGCCCTGAGAAAGGAGAAGAAATGAAAGTGGGGCGTGTTCCCATCACTCCGCAGAAGGAGTGTGTCTGGGTCGCGATCTGCAGGGATGGGAGGCTGCTGGCTGTTACCCTCCTGCTGGCCCTGCTGTCCAGCGGCCTCACGGTGGTGTCCTTATACCGGTTTGCCGCTCTGCAAGCCGACCTGATGAGCCTGCGCATGGAGCTGCAGGGCTACCGGGGTGCACAAGCACCAGCCGCCCCGGGGGCTCCAGGGGCCACCGAAGCAGCCAAAGTGAGTTCACCCCTCCTCTGCCCACCAGGGAGCCCCAGGCGTGCTGCTGCCCGGCTGCACGTCCAATAACGGGGTGGGTGTCTCTCTTCTCAGCTCCTGGCACCGGCAGCTCCGCGAGCCCACAACTCCAGCATCGGCCACAGGAACAAACGCTCTTTCCAGGCTCCGGAGGAAACAGGTATGGCCGGGGGGCACAGCGATTAGGAGCTGGGGTTGTGCGCACCTGCAGCCGCCGCCACGGTGGAGCAAGCACTTTGTGTGGTTTTAGAGCAAATGCAGATGCTGGCAGCAAATGTAGGCTGCGTGGCGTGCCCCGTCCTCCAATGAGCAGGGTATGTGCACAGCGGGACGTCTGTGCTGTCGTGTGGGAGATGACGGAAGACACGGGTGCAGGGATAGTGTGCTCAGCAGCGGAACTGGCTCTTCCTGTCACTTCAGAGTGACGTGTACACCTGCATCTCAGTCAAGAAGCCGTTCCCGAGGGTGCGCACGACACACAGAGACAGCAAAGACTCTTTAATGCACACCTTTCTATATGCAGTATAATGTCCACGTAGTCGCTCTAGTGACTGGTGATTCTCCGTCCACTCCCTACTATTTTGCAGAGTTGGGAGTTTACTAAAATGGTCCATTCTCATTGCTTCGTGAGGGAACAGCAGCAATACATGTTTGTTAGCAACACAGTTTAACACATCCTTGCTGTTGTCTACTTTTAATTCATGTGAAAGCAGTTGTCCTGATAGCTGGAGTTAAAAATAACAAAGTCATATAAACAAAAAAAAGAATTACTAAATTGCTAACTAACATGCCAAAGAGTATGAAAATATTACATTCATTGCAGTGCCAAAAATCTTCCACAAATTTGAAATTTACTGTATGTAATGTGAGCTACCTCCTTCATTTTTTTGCTGAAATAATTACAGCTTATGTACTCTAATGTATATAATAATAGCTCATATGCCTTGGTGCATGTAATAAGGGTACATAAAGTACAAGGCATAGGATAACAGCTCATAATTATAGAGCATGTAATATCCCATATATCATGGTGTATGTAATAATAGCACATAACCACAGTGCATATAGCAGCAGTTCATGTACTATGGTACAAACAGTAACAGGATGTATACCTTGCTATATTTTGTTTATTTTACAATAAGTATCTCACCAATTTCTTTGTAATTCCTTAGTCTTATTTACTATTCATTTTAAAAATAATTTTAATTATTACTGTGATACAAGATGCATAATTTTTGTGTATCTCTTGTTTCTGTTGAATTATGCATTCGATAGAATCATACATTCATTATTCAAGTTCCTTATTGTGAAATCTTTGGGACGACAGGTTTTTTACTTGCTCGCCAGCATTTCGTCTTTAAGCCTTCATTTTGATACTTTTATACCTTCAAATAGCTTCTCAAAGTTATTTTGAATGTGGACTCTCTTTACTAAGTATAGATATTTTCCACTTGTTTATACTTTTTGTTTTATCTTCTTTATTTTCAGTTTCATCTTTGCTAATTGTTATTGATTGCTTATCCTAATTTTTTACAGTTTTGACATTGCTGTAAATACTTTCACTGAATCTTGTGTTTCCTTCAAACCTGTACAGAAATGTTGCATGTGTATTAACACGATTTTTGTTTCCTCTGGTTTACCAAGTCCAAGTACCCTTGCCCCTGGCTGCCTGAGGAGTGAGTGGTTTTTGTCATGACTCCGTGTCCCTTGCTGTGAACTCATTAAACCTTTTGCCTTTTATTGCGGTAAATCCTCTCACACTGTCCCTGTTTCCTCCTTTCTTTATTTCCCCTCCAGACCGTTGTCTCAGACAAAAGTTTGCAACTGTTCTCCATAACTCTTGTGCTGGTGAACCTGCCACGTGGAGCTCTTTATACCTGACTGAATTTATGTGAGATCGCTTTGCACCAGCTTCTTGTCTTGCCTGCGTGTTTTGGGTGGAATAAGTAGTTTCACATTTTAATGGACATCAATGCGTAGTTGGTCAGGATGCCACAGTCTTAGTCCTCTCTGCTACCCATCCTGCCTTCTGAAGATGGGTTTTGAAAATAAACCACAACTTCACCGGTTCTAAAGAGGACATAGACTCAATGAGGGAATAGCAGAGAATTATGATGTATGTTTTAATCCCAGCACTTAGGAGGTAGAGGCAGGCAGATCTTTGTGAGTTCAAGACCAGCCTGATCTATAGAGTTCCAGGCTAACAAGGAACAAAAAAGAAGGGGGGCGGGGTGGGAGAGAGAGAGAGAGAGAGAGAGAGATTAGGGTTCTGTAATGCTATACTTTTAAAAATCCTGTCATTTGCATATTTTATAGATTTGTAATTTTATGCATCCAAATATTTCAGAATGATGCAATTAGAGGGCAATTAATTAATAATGTATACAACTTAGAGAATAATATATTGTTAATATATGATATATATTCCATATTTTATTCACATATATTTTTCTTACATTCATAAACCCAAGATGGAAGGTTGCAGATATTGAGTCTCAGGGACGAGAAATGTCTGTGTTCCCTGCCAATTAAAATATTGACTGTTGTTTTATGTATTATCCTTTTGAATAGGGAAATTTTATTTTGTTATCAGTTACCAGAATGATTACCTACACACACATGAAAGTTATCTGAAACACAAGGATTTTCAGTTGGTGTTTAATAGAGTCTCTCCCTCTCTCTCTCTCTCTTTTTTTTAATTGAGGAAATTCTATGTATTTTTGTAAATTTTTGTTACACATTCTTGTTCTGATTGTTTTCTCTGGGACTTAATATCCTTGGGGTGTTCCTTTTGTTTTCCAAGTGTCCATCAAGGCTCTTCTGTGTGACCTGCTGTGTCTGTTCCTGAGCTACTGCTAGGTTGTGATATCTGATATCACAACAAAGGAGAAGGGAGGTGAGGGGAGCCCTGACCTTCAGTCTGCTCATCAGTCCTCCGAGTCCTCCAGGGACAAATATTACATTTTCTTAATCTTAAAACTTAGTATTTTGGCAAGAATTTTGTTTTTTCAGTTATTTTGAATCTCAAATTACATTTTATTAATCTTAATGTATTTTATAAGGTCACTTTTTATTACAGTATAATAAACAGAAATGTGGGGAAATCCAGGATTAAAAAATTGCCAAATAGTTTGCCCTCATCGACAATTCATTTTTTATCCCTTAAATGTGTTTGGATATAGTCTTAATTTAAAAAAAATATATGATTTGAAAATATTACATAATCCAGTTTCCTTATACATGGCATCACATTGGCCTGGGCTTTGAGCCCCCACCAGCTATGATTTTATTCATTCCACAATGCAAATAAAAGCATCTTTAGAGCCTACAGAAGATGAATTCTTTCAAATAACTTGCTGCCAAACAAAACACTTGGTCAACAGGGCCTGTTGCATGGGGCTGTCTCCCCAGCTCTTCTGGAGCCAAGGAAGGAGGATCACAAATTCCAGGCTTGCTGGGGCTACAGAGTGAGTTCAGTCCCAGCCTGCAGCAGTTTAGTGAACCTGGCCTCAAATCAAGGAAAAACAGAGGACAGAGGAGGTAGCTCAGTGGTACAGCTTCCTCCTGGCATGCACAGCACCCCAGGTTCAATCCCTGGTATACAGGTATCTGTTTTAGATTCTAGAAAGACAAAATTCTTTAAAAAGTAATTGTGTTGATCATTTTGTGGATGCCCTTTAACAAACCTGCTTTAACGGTAGAAGGAAGGCAGTGGAAAGATGAACAGTGCAGAGACATGAGCCAGCATGCAAGAACCACAGGGTCCAAAGACCAAAAGAATGCAAGGACCACTGTGGTTCAAGATTCACAGCCGCATCTCCAAACAGATATTGGATAACTTGGGCCAATCTACTTCATTTTTATACAGACTTCTCAGTTTGGAACTGGTTTTGAATTGTGTAGGTTTGCAAAGATCCTTCAGAGACTTGGGAAATACCTCTACCCAGCTTCCCATAATTATGTGGCAGCAGGCCACAGGAAGAAACCCAGGCTAATACTAATCCAGGGACTCAAGAGCCGATGCGACTTGGGAGTTCAGGGTCCATCCAGAATGCTGTACTGCATTTAATAACCTTAAAATTTAGAAATTTGAGGGATAACACACACAAACTTAACACCTAATGTTTCCTTATCCAAGAAAAGCCTCACCTAACATGAGGATTTTCTTGGATAAAGGTTTTAGCTATTAAAAATAAAAATGCCAATACTCCTTTTGAGTGGCCTTTCTTGATCTCCATAATCCAATTCAAGGAAAGGAAAATTGTGATGTCTGCCAAGTTGGCAATGTCCACTGTCGGCTGAGCCTTCCTGGCACAGCTGTGACCTACAGGCCTCACCATGGGTGAGGAGGATGCAGTGTAGCACTTCGCCTCTTAGGTGGTCTTGAGCCTCCTACCAGGCAAGGGCAGGCTCCTTCCTAGAACAGCTGGCTGCTGCGAGGTGATCTTTGACCCAGTCTTCTCTTCAGTGTTTTTTTTTTTTTTCCCTCCTCTCCTCTGCTTCAATGGTAAGGCTCCTTCATCCCCCGCTATGTGGGTATGTGTTGCAAGAGCTGGAATCTGTTCAATTTCCAAAAATGTCTTTAAAAATTGAAAATACTGAGCTGATAACCAAAACTCTGAACCCTGTTCGGGTTGAGCTTGAAGTTTTGGGAAATAAGAGGTAGGAAGCCAAGGCGGTCAGCTCGGCCAAGTGCAGCATTGAGTCTGTTCTCCAGAGTCATGCATCGTGGGGAAGTATACAGAGAAAATGAACGGATCATACATGTAATTTGTTATTATAATGCTGGAAAATGGTCAGTATGGTGAAAGAGTCGGTAAGACAGCTTTCTGAGTTATCGGAACTCTGCAGGATGCTGAGGCAGGCTCCCTACCTCTTCTTGAACAATCAATATCTCTTCACGGTTTTAGCTTTTGTACTCTTCAGGCGCGAATAATTACTTATAATTTCATAATTACATAATTTCAAACGATGAGTTGTTTGTATTAATAACTCTAGATGACTGACACATGGGTCGGTTGTGACAGTCAAATTGACACGACCTGGCATCACCTGAGGAGAGAGACCTTTGAGGAGTTATCTAGGTCGGGTCGGCCCATGGGAATCTCTATGGGAGAGTGTCCTGGCTGTCAGGAACACCCAGTCCACTCTGAGCGGCAC